CGCCCGAGGGGTCTCAGGGAGCCGCGGGCCCGGAGGACGAGGATGAGGAGCCGGGGGACCCAGAGGAAGAGGAGGAGGAGGAGGAGGAAGAGGAGCCGGACTCCGAGGCCCCCGAAAACGGCTCCCTTCCCCGGTTCGTGCCGCGCTTCAACTTCACCCTGAAGGACCTGACCCGGTTCGTGGATTTCAATATCAAAGGACGCGACGTGATCGTGTTCCTGCATATCCAAAAGACCGGGGGCACCACGTTCGGCCGACACCTGGTGAAGAACATCCGGCTGGAGCAGCCCTGTAGCTGCAAGGCCGGCCAGAAGAAGTGCACCTGTCACCGGCCCGGCAAGAAGGAGACCTGGCTCTTCTCCCGCTTCTCCACCGGCTGGAGCTGCGGGCTGCACGCCGACTGGACAGAGCTCACCAACTGCGTGCCCGCCATCATGGAGAAGAAGGACTGTCCCCGCAACCACAGCCACACCAGGTACCGTCCCCGTCCCGTGTGCTTCCGGCCACCTCCCCGCCCCTCTCCCTGTTGTCGACCCCGCTCGGCTGAGCCGTCCCCGCGCTGGCCAACTCTGCCAGTGCCGAGGGATGGGAAACCTCTGAACAGAGCTGAGTTGTTGAACTCGCTCTTCTCTAGACCCCACTGTTTCCTGCCACCTCCTTCACCTTCAGAGGTGTCTGGAGCCATCCTGTGGTGTGTAACCTATCTGGTGCCTAGCATGGTGTGGCCTCCACGGTGGATGCCAGAAACTCCTTTGGGATGGCCAGGGGTGTCGAGGGTCTGGGTGACCCAGGCATATCGAATCTTGGCTTCTTAAGTTCTGTGATGCAAAGAACCTAAAGCTGGTGAAAAGAAGGGGGATCTGGGACTAGAGAGGCAGGGCAGGAGTTTTCCAGACACGGTGAAGCTGCGGACAGGGCTAATCCCTTCACAAGTGGCTCCTGGGTAGTTGCTGGTCAAGTCAGAGAACAATCCTCTAATGCCGCTTTAAAGATACACGTGAAAATTCCTCCTCTGCCCGAGTATTCCCAATTCTGGAGATGGTCTTTGTTGCCCAGAACAGCCGACATTTGGATTCATGCTGTTCTCAGCAAGATTTCAGTTCTCCCCCTTGCCTAGGCCTTACCATCATCTTATTTCAAAAGTATTTGTTAAATGCCTACTGTGTGCCTGGCAACGTGGTAAGTGGGTAGGAAGATTAAATGAGTAAGATCTCTGTTTTTAGGATGGAATGCTCCCCCCCTTAAATCTAGTAATGGAGTTGAAGATTAGGAAAGTTTGAAATCGTGATAGCCAATGAAACCACTGCCATTATTAGCATCCTTTCAGAGATGCATGGTTTTAAGAATTTGGTCGAATGCTTTTTATGCCCATTGCAGTCCGAAGATTACTCTGATTTGCTTGTTAAAAGGGTTATGGTAGTAAAAGCTTGGGGCACTAGTGAAGTTTTTATCTCAAAGGTTTCAAACAATTATTTGATATAAGGGAATAGGAATTTAAGCAGCTCAGTATGTGATATCAGCTAGATTTGCATTTGACATTGTGGAAAAGCTTCATTTATTGGATGCTCCCCTGATTTCGGTGTCACTAAAGCCTTGAATTCTACTTCATTTCTCCAGGAGTGAGCAAAATTTCATCATGGATTTTTAAAAACCTGGGCAGTTTTTCAGACACTTTCTCTCCTCCTTGCTTCTTTCAGTGTTTTAAGGATATTGGTTAAAGTAAGAAACAGCTGGACTTGGAATGAAGGCATTGGGTTTTCCCCTTACTATATTTTAAGGGCCTTTTGCTTTAGATTATTGTAATAGTGTCACAATATTCTCTTGTATTTTAGACCCTGCCACTCCACTTTAGGCCAGTTTTTCAAGCCCGTATTACTTGTAAACTTCCTAACATATGGCCCTATTATTTCAGTGAGATTGTCTCCATACATTTCAACCCATGTTGTACTCTTTTTGTTTAGATGTTACATATTCCTGATTGACCTCAAGGGTTTTCTAGCCTGCTTCCTGCTCCCATTTCACTAAAACTGGAGACATTTATTATCACATGTAAACATCTCATGACTTTTCAGTGAGGATTATTATTCATTTGTTTTTACCAGTGGCCTAGTGAGTGAATGAAGACTTTAGAGGAGTTAGAAGAATGTAAAATCTAAAAATAATTGGATTTCTGCTGAGTGGTGAAATGGTGCTACATATATCATAAGCAGTAAAATTTCACTTCTAGGGCCAGGAATTTAGCTCAGTGGTTCTGCCACCTGCCTCGCAAGCACAAGGACCTGAGATCAATCCCTGGTACAAAAAAAAAAAAAAAAAAAAAAAAAAAGAAAAAAAAGATTTCACTTCTGTAGGAAGTACTAATATCTCTCTGTTTTGTGATGTAGAAAAATTCCACCTTCTATTACACAGTCAGATTACTTAAACAAATTTGGTGACTACCGTAAACATTCATTTCCTCTCTAAATCACAAGTTTATCAGGTAATCAATCCCCCTACAATGATTTTCTTAAAATTTTTTTTCTGGAAGTATTTTTGGTACCACATCTTAGAATCCTCTTCCTCTTTCCTTTTCACCATCTCTTCCTTTTCAAAAAATTTCAGTCACTTCCCTTCTCTAGATACTGTAGGAAGGATTAGTTGTGGAATTTGTGAAGTACCCTCCATCAGAAGTTCCAGAGAAAAAGTTGAAGAGATGTGAACAGGAGCATCTTCCTAGCAGAGAAGATTGAATTAGTTGTCCATCACTGTAATGTCTGTGTACAGCACTCCACAGTCAGCCAGATTAGCCTGGATAATGTTGGGTGCATTTCCACGATGCAAAATGGCAGATAATCTATTGCTACATAATGGGAACAAGGTTCTACTTCAAAGATAACTGACTCTAAGCAAAACTGAGAAGTAGGTTCTGTTGATTATATTTCCCTAGTCTCTGATTTTGGTACCCTTCAGCATTTCCTTCTCATTTCTTGGAAACATCTGGGCCCTATGGATCCCATAATGGGTCAGAGTGAGGACCCTGGAGTCAGTTGGATATGGTACTTATATTTACTAGCTACGTAACCAGAAGTAACAGAGGTGTTATGAGAACTAAATGAGCTAATGTATATACATGCTTAGGATAGCATATATGTATAATATAACATGCTGGTGTACAATACTTAATACTTACAATGTGAGTATATAGCAGTGTTATGATACTAGTTGTTAATTATATTTCCTTAATCAAAGTCTTCCTTCACCAAAGGACCTGAGGTTGGTCGCTTAGAGCAGTTCAGTGAAAATGGGACATGTTGACTCACTGAAGTACCATTTTTTGATTATTTGTACTGAGAATTGTAATTTTTAGATTTACAATTGAAACTGAAAATTAGAGATGTTTGGATATCAGTCATCATAGGTGGCAGGATGAGGAACAAGGGAAGGGGGCCCCACAATTTTATATATA